TTTATAAGAAAGATGGGGACAGAGTTTTAGCAGGGGCTGTTATGGTAGGACAAGAGGTAATGGTTTTAAACTAAAGCAAAGTAAGATATAAGAAAAATTTTTTGCAATGAGGGTGGTGGAACACTGGAACAGGTTGCCCAGAGAGGTGGTAGATGCCCCATCCCTGGAAACATTCAAGGCCAGGCTGGATGGGGCTCTGAGCAACCTGATCTGGTTGAAGATGTCCCTGCAATGCGAGGTACTCCTTTGTGTCTTGCAAGGGGGCAGAAGGGAAGGCTGGAGGTTCCAGAAAGGGTTTCCTTGTCTGTCCGAGAGGAACTGACAGTACTCAGCTGGCTTGGCACACTGCCACTGAACCCAGCAGGTCCCGCCCAGGGCCCAGGCAGCAGTTTCCACTTTGCCAATCATTTCAAACAGAGCAGAGTGTTTCCGTGTTCAGCATTCCATGCGTCGTCCCTCTCATCTGGAGTGACAGCAATGGATGGCCGCCTGTCCCGTTGAGCCCATCAGCGGCACGCTCCGCATTGCAAAGTGGTGACTGCAGGCCAGGCAGCCACAAAAACTGGAACACTGGGGGAAAGGTTTGGCCCTAGTGGCATGGACCTTGGTTCACATGCCACCTGGTCAAAAACATGGTGGGAACTGCATCAGAAAGCCAGCAGTAGCCTTAAATTATTCCTTAACGGAGATGTAACTTCACATGGAACAGAATACAGAGAGCGGATAAATTAGCAGAGGAAACGGGCAACATAAATCATCTGGATTACCTCAAAAAACCCAGAAGTTATTTAAACAGTGGGGCTAGCTCTCAACTTTAAACAGAGTAAATTACAATCTACTGTCTTTTTAGGCTTGCACTTTCAAAGCAGTGTTTCCCACACTTAGGTAGAAAAGGAAACAAGACAAACCCCATGATTCAAAAGTTCTAAATAAAAATAAAATGATGCTTAAAAGAATTACAGGCTCAAGGTCGTGAACAGGGGATTGCATAGATCAGGGACTTTTACACTATCACAACATCCGGTGGCCGTTTTTTCTTCCCACACTTTAGTACTCCCTGAATTCACCCATTCCAACCAGTCTGCCATTCCAGTTGTCTGAATAACAACAGCATTTGAACCGTAGTTCCTTAAAAGAAGTTGTTGGAAGCGTTTTCTAAAGATGTCACAAATCTGCTCCAAGGCAGTCTCTCTTGTTTCCCTGAATCCCACCTCAGGTCCTGATACCACTTCCCTTATCCTTGACGTACACACAAAGGCAGCACACAGAAAGCCACCAGGGATCAACAATAACATCGCTTCGTTACACCAATAAGTTGCCTCTAAGGAAACACGTTAGCTGAAGCTCAGCACTTGGCTATATTGTTTCTAGACTAACGGACTTAAGTCTAACTCAACCCAACAGCAGCCTGAGCGAGCAGGTGCTGGCTTACGCCCATCCCTGTCGCACACTCACAGACTGCTTTGAAACTTAAGGCCATTTCCATTCTCTTTAGCTCTTTTCTGCAAACTCTCTTCCCATTTCCATCATGTACATCACTGAGCCCTTCAAGGCTCTCATTTCGTCTCCCAGACAAGGAGTGGCAACTTTCTACTTGTGTTGTTACACTGTATCACTATTTCTTTCTTACACTTCTGCTATACCCTAGTTTTGACATTTTTCTCTTTCTCACATTTCTGTGGTGCCCAAGGAGGGCTGAGAAGTGCAGTGTTACTGTATTTTATAGCACGCAAATACATATATTTACATACCCACATTGATCATGATATAAACAGCACGCATTCTAAATAAACACTGAAATGACCATGTAATCAGATCAGTTCACTTTAGAATACAAACATCTAGAAATAGTAGTAACCTGGTATTCAAACGAGATAGAGATCAGTGTTCCAACTGCATGATGCAGAGGATGTTCAAGTCTCCTCCTTCAGCACACAATACAAAGTACGTAACAAACCAACATTTTTAAACAGAAGGTGAAGACAGGCAACCTCTTCCACTCTTCAAAAGAAATACTTCTATGTTTTGCATGCCAGATATGTTACAAAACATAGAGCACACCCTTTTAGAAGTCATGTTTCAAAGCATACCCAAGTCAAACCCAGATATTTTGACACCAAGAGCATTTGCTCCATGGACAACCAAAATAATTTTTTCATGTAGGTGGTTTATTGTAAGAATTTATAGATTTCTGGGGCTTTACCATTTCTTCACAAAATAACAGAGCAGTCTTGTTAACACAGACACAGGCAGGTTAAATCATATGCTCAGAAGAACTCTTCTTCACCTGCAAGGAAAATTGAAGCAAATTAAAACCTTTTAATTAACCTATTTATTTAAAAACGTTTATCTCCTCCAATTCCAATACTTCAATTCATTAATGTTGCTTACCCCCTTCTCCCCGAACTCTTTATCAAGTCTGGTTTTGCTTAAGTTTTAAATTTTGAATACGCTTATTTTGCTACAGAAACCTCTTTAGCTACAATGTCTTACATCCAGACCTTTTTAAGTCATGGCATAAGGTCAGGGCACTATGAAAAAATTAAAACAGTAACTGCAAACGAATCCAATAACCCAGAAAAAAATCAACAGAAAATTACATCAAATGTGGATGTATCATGGAAGTACTTTCCTTACAATTACTGACCCTTAAGAACTTTTTGTTCAGACAGGTTCAAACTAGCAATGGGCAGTTTCCCAGCTCTGGGAAGAGAAGTTTCTCTGACCAACAACATTGAATTCTGACTTCCTCATTTGACTTCAAGATTTTCTGTGTCAATTCATTTTAAAACACAATGTAGTTTCCATTTCATAACTTTACCTCTTGTATTTGGCTGAATCGCTTTTTCCAATTAATTCCTGGTTATGGTATTAGAAGAAAAAACAGAACAAGCAGGTTAGGAAGCAATTCATGCAAATCCAGGCAAAACTATGTATATATTTATGACCGCACATGTATTGTGAGGAGCACAATACAGCACGTAACCGCTACATGGTATGTATTCCAGGCATTTTGTAAACACACAGGATATTAACGCATGTATTTGCATCTGAGTATAGCATGAATTTTTAACTGTTAGATGTAGTACACATTAGCTACATGCAGTTACAAATTGTGGTCTAAGCCCACACATTTGTAACCTGCAGTACGCACCTTCACAAACTTCTTCCTCAGGGAAGTATGCAAAATACTGAACTTAAAGTAAAATACACTTCTAGTATCAACAGACTCTGGAAATTCCCTCCTGCTTCCAACCCCACCACACGCTGATTTATCCAAAAGCGTTTCAGTCACCTGAGTTGCTCTCCCCCAGCAACACTACTGGGCTGTTTGAGCATACAGAGTAGGAAAAATCCAAGTAGAAGGAAGGAGGGGGGAAATCCACTGAAAGCCAAAATGGAGGAAAAACACTGCCTGTTCAGGCAAAGATGTGTGTTGAGGCTAAAGATCTATTTTACCAGCTTTTTAATTTTATCTGGCCAAAAAAGACTGCCAAACTTCACACTTGTTAGTAGAACTGTGCAAGCTGAAAAAGTTGGGAGTCATGCTATGGACTGTCTTCCCTTTGGTTTTAGGACCCACATGCCCTAACCTTCCCCATTCACCAGACTGAAGCAGGACATACAAGCATTACAGGACTTTGCAACAACTCCTATTTCACGTTCACACAGGTACTCACAGAGCAGCAGCACCAGAGATGATCTCAATAAGCTCCTTGGTAATGACGGCTTGACGGGTACGGTTGAATGTCAAGGTCAATTTGTCAATCATCTCAGCTAGAAAAAATTAAGATTGGAATTTAAACATATAATAAGTATTCAAATAAAGAGAAGCCATATGAACAGAGTATCAAATAGTCTTGTAAATCCATGCAAACAATCAAGAGGCTTACTGCACCTTTCATTTTTTTCCCCTACAAATAACACTACTAGTATACAATCTAGAAACTTGCTGATTTGGCTTCAGGCATCAGTCTCAAACATCTGAAGAACAGCTGACAGACTTGTAAATACCGTAGTTTATTTTAACATAACACAAGCATGCATGATTTGCTTTTAAATCAGATCTCACTGTCAATTAACTACATTGGTATTTCCTTCAAGTTATTGCTGTTCTGGCAAAGGGAGCCAGATTTTTCTGAAATTTTTTTCTTCAAACTTTTTTTTTTTAAAATGCAGAAGGTATCATCTCTTTCTCTCAAGATAAGGTGGTCAGTGGAGAGCCACACCTACAGTTCCAGGTAGCCCAACTGTACATCACATCGGCTTCACTCACTCACCAGTATCTTATATGCAACACTACCTTTTTAAGGCTGAAGTCTTATCACCATGCCACATTAAAAGCTATTAGCTGTCTCCCACTAATACCAGTTGCATACTCTGCACTGCACTCAGTTTGGACACCTTCCAAGGAATACATGTGTATTCTCAAGTTACTGTATGACAGGTCATAGAGTACTTAATCGTTGCTTCACTTTTCCCACCTTGAAATTGGTGCAGTACTAATTACATTTGGCTCACAAGTAGGTACAGGTTTATAAAAATTTTGGAAAACCTCACACCAGCCACATGAGAAGAGCTTAAAGAATATTTGGCCATTACAAGATTAGTTTAGTATTTCACATTCTTATTAAAGTATCTGTTATTTCACTTCCAGTTACCTAGTCTTGCTTCTCATGTACTTGACAGCAATCCTTCTTTCCAGGGACTAAATAAGGTTCACATGTTCAGAAAAGAATCCCAGTTGAATGGGATCAAAAAAACAGACTCAACATGGAATTAAGACAGAAACCAGCTCATTTCTAATCATTGTGGAAGCAAAGAGTTACACAATGGGAGGTCAGTACTTCCATGCTAAACTAGTGAAGTCCTGGGAAACCACAAAGTAGACTTACAAGCATTCTTGCTAGCGTTGTCCATAGCAGTCATCCTAGCACTCTGCTCGCTGGTAGTAGATTCTTTCAGGGAGTAGTACAGAATATTTGCTAGTGTAAATTCCTGGTAGTTTCTCAGCACATCAGCATCAATATCATCATAGATACTTAGGCTCTCTGCAAAATATGAAAAAGTGGACTTAGAGAAAGCCAAGATACACTACTACTAGCGAAACAATACACTGCCATGCGGAAGACTACTAGGCTAGCCTGTTTCTCTACTTCAGGCAACACAGAAGGATTTTCTTTATGTACTGTGTGCACTTTCACAGTCTCTCTGCTATTCAAAATTGTGTTAAGTATTTTACATGTTTTAATTCATTTTAATACTAGGAAAGTCGGATTCTGACCAAGGCCAAATACATTATTGGCATATTATGTTTAATCTTCCCATACAGTGCTACAGAAACATTCTGGGGTATTTTTACTGAGTAGTGCAAAGTCACTCAATATGCAGGCCGTTCAGTGCTGAAAACACTGGAACTGACGGAGTTTTGCATATGCACAATTCTTGCTTGAGAGAGAATCCCAAACCAAAATTAATGTGACCTTTCCTTTTAACCTCCCGGCCCCACAGTACCTTGCTAAGTCAGCCTTGGACTGCCAAGATAAAACAATCTGTTACACTTACGATACATGCACCATAATAAGATGTTTTAATACCATGTTCAGAGTACTGGGAGTTTCTGTGATTTATCACTTCTACTAACCAGTGGTTTCTAGTTCACTGCTTACCAGAACCAGCAACTGTTTCAAGGGAGAAGATGGGTTTTTCATCGGTCTTGTAGGAGATGACTGACCTGTATAAAAATAGCATAACAGGCTCTTCAGTTCAACTAACTCTAAATTGAGTGTTTAAAATCAAATTAGAATACAAAACTTCTGGCCTTCCAAGTCCACAAAGTTCTGCAATAATCGTGATGAAGAGATGTCAGATATGACGTGGATATAATGACATGCTGACTGTAAATATAACACACCACCCACTATACAAGTAAAAAGATAATTCCAACCACAGTTATTAAAAAAAAAAGGGCTCTTCACACACAACAAAATGCACTCACTCCTCAAGAAATCAAGTAAACATGACAAGTCACAGTACTTCATCGAGCCAATGTCCTCTTTGAAGCTTTCTACCTAGTATTTTTCCAGTGCAGTTTCAGTTTAGTCTTACCTGAACCGATTGTAGATGACAGAGCCTTCATCAAATTCATACCCAGAGTTTAACAACTCTGAAGCAATGATTGAAGCATCTCCAAAGCTGGGAGGTCTCCGTCCCACTTCCTTGAATGTCAGCAGGAGGTAATTGCCATGTGTCCTGCAGTAACATCAAATCTGTGTTAGAACCAAGTGGATGCTCTAATGTACAACTACGTGGCAGCAAGATGGATTTACTAGTGTTCAGAACTAAGCATTTTATTGAATTAGAGTCTGAGAGAAATTTTGCTTTTTTTCAGTTAAATTATAATAGACTCATGACAAACACAGACTTGTAACAGCGCCAATGTTGCTAGCTTACAGATTTTCACAAATGTCCAGATGACTGAAATCCCTTTTAGTGTATTTGCAGATTTTTTTTTTAAAGGAACTTGAATTTAGCACAGTTCCATTAAACGCAATTTCCTGCAAATGCCACATGCCTTTCTAAGCTGTCTTGAAATTTGTACCACAGAAAACAAACAAAACCACCACACCAAAACCTCTTGGAGTTTGAGTTTTGGGACTCATCTTTTTACCTCTGAAGTAGGCCTCTGATCTTGTCACCTACTCCAACCACCATAACTTCTTTCCCTGCGTTTGAGAGGTTGGTAATCTCATTCTTCAAGGTTTTAGCAATAGACGTATGAATAGCACCACACAGACCTCGATCAGAGGACACACCAATAAGGAGGTGCTTCTTCTTGTCCTCAGGTGCCTTTATTTCTGCTTTCTCATAGAGAGCTAAAATAAAAAGATGGTTATGTTTTTCAAGGGTGCCAAGAAGCAAACAGGTTAAACACCTCTGAATTATTCTAACTAAAACTATTTCCAAAGGGGCTCCAGATCTCAGGCAGATGAATTTTATCGCCCTTACGATCACTTGAGTTTGCACATGATCTGACCAGAGGTGACAAAAACAATTCCAAGCCAACCACATCTCTGATCACCTATCACACAATCAGCGTCATTAGTTAGTCAAATTCACTGTGCAAGTCCAGTGCCTCAGGAGCACGTGCAGCCCAAGAGTTCACAAGAAGTTTTGGCAGTTCCCATAGATGCTACAGAGATACAACACAATTCCATTAGCAGGTAGAAGCAGGCCACAAATTCTGAGCTGTGGTGCTTTTATGACTAACATAAAGCAACCACACAAAGATAAAAAAGTAATCAGAAATCATAATCAATTTCACATGAGAACTCTTAAAAATCACTTTCCATAAACTACTTATAAAGAATACTCAAGTTGGCCTAGACATGCAAATTCTTTTGGAAAAAAACTACCAAAAGGTTAAAAAAAGTCCAGGCATTTTATCACCACCACAAAAGCCTTCCTCTTCTGTTCCCACATCACACAGTGCAAGAGTCTTCTCTCACCCAGCGCTCCTGTTCCATAGACTCTGGCAGGCTTCAGCTCCCTCTCAGCTCTTGCATATTTTGCTGCAGAAACCATCTTCATGGACTTCGTAATTTTCTGAATGTTCTTGATGGACTTCAAACGCCTGGTAACTACAAGGTTAACAGTTGAAGGTCATGGGCTGTACTGGGCATAATGACATCAAAACCAAGCAATAAAATGCTAGTAACAGCCATCCAAAAATATCTTGCCAAGTTCCTCAAAGAAAAAAAAAAAACAAATAAACAAACAATGCACAAATAAGCCTCATAAAAGACCTTAGTATTTACAGTAAGAAAGTAGTAAGTAGTAGTGATCTGGCTAACCCAAATGTATTTTCACAATAGATATGTTTTTTCCTCCAGACATAACATAATATTTAGACCAACATAAAATCTACTTACTATTCTCTCTCCTTCCACTTCTACCTGTTTCACAAATATATCATTTGAGGTATATTGTCATCTTTTCCCAGATGACAATGAGAGGAAATAAACAAACAAACAAAGACTCCATAGCATGAAGACACAGAATAAACTTCCTCTTCTGTTTAGATTGGGGGAAAATGAGATCCATAAAAATAATGATGCAAAAAGAAAACAAAACAGGCTTCCTACAGACAAGCACAATTGCAAGGCAATATCCCCGTACGAAAACCTATAAGGAATAGCTTAAAGATGCATTATCAAAGCGGAACCATTCAGTCAACCTTTTTTCCCCCCAAATACTGGATAAAAGCACAAGAAAATAAACATAAAAGAAAATAAATTAATTCTTAAAGGTAAGCAAAAAATCTGGTTTAGCACGTATGATAAAGTTATTTTTAAAATGTGTTTGAGTAAAACTATATTGGTTTGCTGAACTGACATCTAAATTAGTGCTAAAATCATGTTAAGCAATACCTTTTCTGAAGGACGCTTGTTTAATATAGGAAATGCTGGAGGCTCATGTATCAATATTATGGCATATCACAATCAATTTATCCAACAGAGGCTAACCAAAACTATATTTTAACATATGGTTTTCCTGCAACAATTTCCCTCTCTGAAAAGTAAACAAAACCAATACTTACTGTCTTTTAGAGTTGCCATATTCCTGACTTGGCCCCTGAAAATGAGTGCAGGACAAATTAGGATAGTTCACTAGCTCTCCAGCAAACCATCTGTCAAGGGCAGGCCCCTTTCAGAGGCATGAAAATTTAAGAATTGCTGTTTCTTAAAAAGCATCTGTGGCAGGGACAAGTGACTCCAAATCACACTTTGTATACATACCTTCCATCCTTCCTCTCATCTCCTACATATATCACTTAATGCATTATCCACTACTTTGGATAATGACACAACGTAAACAAGGGTTAAACAACAGGGCATCAGAAGGGTACAACTTTCAAAAAATGCATCTTTTTTATTTTTTTAATTAAAAAAACGATTAAAACGAAGCAGAGGAGGCTACAACATTTCCTGACAAGAGTAGAGTCTCCTTGCACCGCCT